CGGGGGGGTGTGTTTGTCCCACTGTGTGAAAGCTTAGGACAACAGATCACTTACCTACTTCTACTGCCTGGTAGACATTTTCTGGGTCATGGACCAGATCACAAAGCGCCATCAATGCCCGCTGCTGAGTCAGCAGCTCAGGAGAACATAACTCCTCATTCAGTTTAGGAAGGGCCCTCCTTCCAAATGCCAGAGGAGCTTTTGTGGGATCTATATCAGGGGGCAGGTTGGCTGAGATACGAGCATGTGCCATCCCAAATTTTCCTGTGAAGGATTCTCCTTAACCCCAAAAAGACCTTCAAAATTATTGTACCTGGTGACTGGACAGATAATCTACCAAAAAGACAACTACTGACTCTATTTTAGCACACGTTCAACGTGAGGAAGCCATGAAAGAAGAGGCTGGAACGGTTCACAGTCATCAGCATTAATGTCTGTTCAGCAGCTGAATTGTCTTATCAAGTAGTCCAATGACTCCAACCAGAGAAAGAGCTCAAAATATTAAAGCAAAACCAAACAAAACGTAATTTTTAAAAAAAGGTGCATCATTTTAAAAGGGGTCTATTTTAAACCCGTCCTCAGAATTCGTTAACGTTTGAAAGACTCGTTGATGGCTGACCTCTCTCTCCCCTCAGTAAGGACAACGGCTCCGCTGACGGAAGCGTACCACCTCCAATACTGAAAACTGCTCCACAAAAAATAAAAAGCCAGCTGCAAAGCTAAAACAGCTGCTGACCAACTGCACTTCACTCTTCAAAACAAACGAAACAATTTATCCCAGGTGCCCTGTCCCACCGACACGCCGCCGCCTCAGCCCGGCCCCGTTCCCGCTCCGCAGCTCCGTCCGCTCCGCCAGCGCCTTTCGCGCCCGCGTGCTCTCGTTGCCGCAGCAACCCGCTCTTTGCGTACGCCCCGCTCCGTGAATAAAAACTACGTGGCCAAGCGTATGAGCGAGGTCCTACGTTAACAGCGTAAGTATCGCATTTGACGTAGCTGCTGTGAGGGAGTTGCGTCAAGGTCGCCGTTAGCGAATAGGACGGGCGCGGAGCGGCGCTGTGAAGCGCGGCTGAGGCGCGGTCCCTGAGGGTGGAAGTGTGTGAGGGGGAAGCGTCGCCGTGGGGTTGCGGTGTGGGTGACGTTTTACCTCGCCTCTCTGCTACGGCATAGAGCGAGGCCGTTTTCTCAGCCCATATCTTTAAAGTAATTTCAGTTGTATAAAACTGAAAAAAATTCAGATTGAACAAAATGGTGGTCGAGTTAATGGCAGAGATACAGCAGGTGAGTGCCTTGAGGTACAAGCGTTGAAGGGAGCTCAATATCTTCGGACGAGATTTTCTTTCCTAGTCGTCTCCAGAATGTCACTATAAACACCTAAAATATGTAGCCTTATGTGTATCCTTTTGTAGTTTCACATAACTGTATTCAAGACTTGGCTTTTTTGCTATGATTCTAAGTATAGTGGTGTTCAGAGCATGGTACACAGAGAGAATGTAGCAGTGCAATGTTGCCAGCACAGTTTAAAGGCACCCTGGATTGTCAGATGCATCAGGAAAAAAAACAACTCTGAACAGCTTGTGCAGTGAAAGGTTAGTTCCCAGTACAAATAGGGAAGCTGTTGAAATATTTTTTCATTATGTTTGAGTAACAATTATAATAATCAAAGTTCTTAAACTGGATTTTACAAAGCCAAATTCATTCAGATCAGCGGGATTAAAATACAACAACACAGGAATAGATTCTGGTTTGTTGATCTTCAGAATCCAAAATAGGAAAATTACTACTTTAAAAAGTATTTTCCAGAAAGGATTCCTTTTTCTGCAGCATTTTAGAGCAGATTTTTTTAAAGTGGTGGTTTATCTCACAAATCAGACTTCCACTAACTATATAGTTCTAAACTTTTACCCTGTTTCAATAGGAAGAATGTGAACTTTTCTTAGTGTAGAAGGGGCAGGAAAAGATCAGAGGGAGACTTCTCTTGTCCTTTAGTGTTAACTCTCATTTTGGTATGAGTTGTTCTGTCTTGCCCTTCACCATAGCATGGAATACCTATTTTTGTTTAGTGATCATGACAGTAACTTAGGTACAGCTTATGTGTGCCTTCCTCAAATCCTTTGTCTAGCAACAGAATCTGTTGGTGATACTGTTCCTGTAGCATTGATGTAGTGAGGGTTGTGGTGCTGTGGAGACACTATGTTCCTAGTTCTGCCTGGTGACCGAATTCCCTTCAGCTCCATAGGAAAAGAAATCAGTACAAATCATTCTTGCTATTTTTAGCAACTTTGTATTTCTTAAATCATTGATCTTTTTCCTTTAATAGTGTGGCTAATGCATCAATTTGGTAAACTGGGGTATGTTTATGTGCATGTGAGATTTGGATTAAATACACTGAATGTAAATGAAGATGACCTCTCAATTTTAAACGGTTTGTGTTTGGTTGTCTTGATCCCTCCTGTGCTTTGGATTCACTGAGGCTGTTGAACTGATTTCTTTGTAGCTTAGTTTGTGAAAGAGTACTGAGAGACGAGAGTGAGTCAGCCTGTGTACACATGAGAGCTTTTTACATGCTTAGGAAGTGTTGATCCAGAATATGGAGAAGGCAAGTTAATATTTGAAATGCTTACCAGCTGGCAGTGGTTTTCATTTTATTTTCAGAACTATTATTTTAAGACATTAACACTGCCATAAAATCATTCCAGCTTGCAAAAAGGCAGGAGAATACCATAAAAAGGGCCCAGATCTCTCTAGTTTTATACAGTCACAAGTAGCATTATAAATAGGACTATGCATATAATAAATAAATGTTATAATCTCACCTTCTTCAGTGAATAACCCATCAGCTAAAAATCTGGATTCTTTCAGGGGAAGTGGGTGTTTCAGCATGGATCACATCAGTGCCTGGAGTGATTTAAATGCAATCACTCATGAAAGAGAATAAAACTTTAATTCTAAGTAGTGGACTAGCAATTTTGTTGAGTATTATTTATACTGTGGGGCTGTAAAACACAACTCTAGTTTTTTTGTTTCAAACTCATTGTTTCAAATTACTTGTCCACATTGATTTGCCTTTGCAGTCTGCTGTGGGAACAGGAGAGGCTTGTCTCCTGGATGTTAGGAAGTCCAAGCCTGTTTCAGCATTAGCAAAATCTGACTATTAGAATGTGAGAGATTTCTGTTGTCCTGAAATTTGGAAATTTAAGTCCTAATGAAATAAATATTAAAATCTTTTATCATCCTAAATTACATTCCATCAGACTAAATGCTGTCTAAACTAATGAGCTGATTAACAATACGTAGGCAATACAAAAGAGCTGTGTGATTTTTATTCCTTATCTTTAGCATTCAGTGTGTTAGAAAGCATGATTACTGATAACTAGAAAGACATTTATATAATTCAGAATGTCTCATTAGTGGCAGGCGCATCCTGACTCTAAAGCTGAAATGAAATCAAGTTAAAATTCTGAACAAATCCCTCAGGAGTTTCTTTATAATTGCTACTATGCTTAATATTAGCACTGTAACAGCTCCCCACTCCATTAGTTCCTTGTCTGCTGGGTTAATCCTGCTCTTTCTATCCATGTATGCAAACTAACTTTGAAAAAAAAAAGGATCTGTTTTCTTATACAGCTTTAGGGGACCACTGGCTTTATTAAGGAGCAGTTTCTCATCAAAGAAATCTGTATGGCCACTAAACTCAGTTTATTCTTTCAAAACTAGAGCCCTGTGTGTAGTTAAGTTGCTCCAACCCCGCCTTCCCAGTCTGTAAGAGAAGAGGAGGAAGGGAACTGTTGCAGGCCTGTTGCTATGGCCACGCAGCCGCAGGCTGAGCTGTTTGTGTGGCTGGAATCCTGCTGCATCAGCTGCTGTACGGTGAGTCTTCCCTTACACTTTGCTGCATGATGAATATGCTTATTAGAAACATTCTTTCAAATGCCAGGAAGAAACTGGAACCCTATTAAGGGTCCCCTCCCCCAACAATCCAAGAGATTTCATTGTATAACCAAATTGATATGTCCCAAGTGGCATATCTGAATGCATTTGTAATTTTCATGTGAACGTTATGCTTTTTCCAAGCCAAGCTATCTACTTGATTTCATTCTTTCTGAGCTGATCTTGGACGAAAGTTTGATGTTGTGCCAAGAAATGTGGCAGCTTCATCTTTCCTCCTTTCTTTGGACCAAATGAAATCTGGTATCCCCCAGCATTTATTAATGTGCTTAGTGCAGAGTTATTTCCAACAATTATGAGCAAGATCTTCAAATTAAGCACTGCAAAATCCTTTGAGGGCTAAACTGCAAGTATTTGGGTTGATTTAAGTGAACGATTCTCTGCTCTCCCACAGAACTGGAGTTGGTGCTGTGTAGTTTCAGAAAGCCACTGTTTGGTACTAAAGCTATGTGCACTAAGGTGGTTCCTTTTACATAAGAAACAGGTTTTCTTTAATGCAAATATAAGTCAAAGAACTCCCTGTTGTATGGAAAGGAAAAGAAGATGATGATTTGTAAGAACTGTTAATTTTTTTTTTAAATCATGTTTTCCCTGTATTGAAATTCCTGAATACTGTTTCTCTTGACACACTTCTGGTCTCATAGAAGTTAATTGAATTTGGAGGATGAAGTCCAACCTAATGCATTTGGTTCCTCCAGTGAGTAGAGACAGAATAATCTCCAAGTTTCCCAAGGTAAGCATTCTTTATCCCTCTGGTCACAGTGTGTAGCACCTACCACACTGAGCTATCTTTCTCTTGTGCTAATAGTATTTCAATTTAATATACAGTTGTCTTCTGCCAAGATTACAAATTGTTTAAGGATTTCTTGCAAAGATGAATGTGATCTCATGTTTCCAGTCAATGCTGACATCTTTAATAATAATCCTAATTTCTTCTTTTAACCTTCACAGAAAGTTACTCTTGTCATAAAAGTGTTACCTTATAAAATCTACATTCTTCAGCCAAACATTAATAATTACATGCTTAAAGAGTTCCTACATTGAGGGGGAAATAAGAACCATAGCTGATATTAAATATGCAAAAAAGTCTAATTAGATCTATATGGAGGTTTTTGTTGAATAATTTGAGGCAATTTTAATTTTCAGTTTATAGAGGAACCTTGTTTATACAGTAGATCAAAAGTAGTAGGCATTGTAGAAACACAGACAGAAAAGATCATTGATGTCTCCAAAGACTTTTGTACTTGAAATATAATAGAAGATTTAAGGACAGGGGAGGACAACGAATTACCATACCATGCTGATTTT